ATCCACGTTTAATTACAAACATGCATTTATTTTTCCTGGGAGCCTTGGTGTTGCATCCCTATAAGCTCAATTCTATATTACTTCTGAACCCCCCTTTAAGGTCAAGCATAGCAGGGAATTTGTATTGGGTTCATTTTATTCTGAGGTTTACATATTAGTTTGTTCATGTATAACACACTTCGTGGTTATTCCCTGAACTCTTAAAGGAAAATGGCAAAATTTGGGTGAAAAATAAAAGATGATCTCGAGAAATTCTCCAACTCTGCTAAATCACAGCATGTCCATTTAAACCTTGATTTTGCTATAATTCAGTGACACGTGAAAAAACATGATTTATTTTCCTAGTTTATTTTTTAAACAGTTGTAGTAATTTAACATATAAATGTTAGAAAATTAATGCCAAAATACTAGAGTTTCGGAAATAAAATCCCAGATTTTGGTATTTTGTCCAAATTGTTTTTAACCACAATACATACGAATCTTAATAATCACAGTGTGCTACTGATGTATTTAGTTTCATCCAAAAAGTAATATAACAAAATAATATAAATACATTCTTTAATTTCAAGTCTGATTCTAAATTATACATACAGGACAACCCATATTCCAGAAATCCAACTGCTTATATAAAAATTGCTCACCCACTGCAGCTCCCCCTCTATTTCTTCTCCCAAGGCAATTTTTCTCCTTTCTGTCTGTTCAGGAAGTGTTGGCTAATTTCATCTGAATTATTGATTTGCTTCCCTCCTGGACCACTTAGCACAGGCTGTTCTCTCAAAAGGTTGAAGGATGTGTCAGCTTTCATTGCAACGAGGAAAACAAAATAAATATATTTGTTATATATATATATATAATATACACACACAATATATAGTCATGAACAGTACAGTCATATTTCTACTTTAACAGGTACCCATGTGGGAAATGAGAGGGGAAGCTTGGATTAATTGACCATTTTATGACCGATTTTACCCTACATCGATGTTGATTATTTGTTAGGGAAATGTAGTTTGAACACCCCTGCATTACCAAGGTTTACTTTACTGGTCTCGGTCACCAGGATAATCTGGTCCTTGGAGACTCCATTCTAGTGTATCTTACTCACAAAACCACTGATAGTAAATAAAAATATACATTATAAAAATATATAAAATATTAGACGTGTGGGGGCTGGGCCTGATGTCCAGCCCCCCTTTTTCAATAGCTCCCGACAAATCGTGCCAAACTCAAACGATAAAAGGTTAAAATTCTGCTACCTCTGATCCATGGCTACAAGCAGATTGATATTACAGCCAAGCACAAATCACTAAGCTTGGACTAGAGTATCCTGCTCAACAGTCATCTTGTTTGCATCTGAGGCCTACTGGGACTGGCACAAAGGCCGAGGAGAGAGGTGGCAAATCTCCCGAAGCTATGCACGCACCCTATTGCTAAATTCAAGGATCCCCGTTACCCCTTCCATTGGACTGGTGGGGGTTCATCCCTGTCCCCACTGGGTCAGTATATTCAGCATTAATTGAAGAAAATCCTGTAGCCTTCAAAGCTGTGTGGTGCGGCCAAGATGGCCACCGGGCTGGATCTTCAACAAAGTTGAGCAGGCCCAGAGGGCAAAGGGTTGAGAGACATCTTCCTTGCAAAATTTGATGCAATCTGCCAGTTCTGCTATCGTGTTACTAGCAGATCCCTCCTGACTCCTCCTGCTTCACAGCCGACCTGGAGTGATGTCTCAGCTGCTCGTTTCTCTTCTGGGCCGGGCCCATTCGGACATATCTCCACATCAACATTCATATACCCAGGGGTTGGTCCGTAATCACGTGAAACCGCTGATCCATGCCACTTTGGAAAGGGGGAGCCATGGACATAAGGCACAGTTTCCCATTCAGGCCTGGGGCCGACATTACGCGAAGCTGTTATGCGGTTCAGAATACAATACACAGCGGGAAACCAAGCAATACCTACCAAACCTGATGGCAGAGAGAAGGGATGCAACATCTGGCATTGGACTGTGCTTTCTGGCTCACCTATTACATTGGGTGAATATAGCTGGTGGTTACATGTATCCATAGAATCCATTTAGTTAAAGGATCACTAGAGGGTCAGGAACACAAACATGTATTCCTAACCCTATGGTGTTAAAACCACCATCTAGTCCCCCTGGGCCCCTCATGCCTCCATAAATATAGTAAAATCTTACTATATTCAAGCCTGAAGCTGTAGATCTGCATGATGTTTGCCTAAAAAAAAAAAACAAGCAGTCTGCGGACATCATCAGAAGTGGTAGCCTGATCCAATCACAATGCTTCCCCATAGGATTGGCTGAGACTGACAAAGAGGCAGATCAGGGGCAGAGCCAGCATGATTCAAACACAGCCCTGGCCAATCAGCATCTCCTCATAGAGATGAATTGAATCAATGAAACTCTATGAGGAAAGCTCAGTGTCTGCATGCAGAGGGAGGAGACACTGAATGTTTGGATGCATTTTAGGCAGCCATGACCCAGGAAGGATCTCTAACAGTCATCTGAGGAGTGGCCAGTGAAGTTATCACTAGGCTGTAATGTAAACACTGCATTTTCTCTGAAAAGACAGTTTACAGCACAAAGCCTGCAGGTAATGATTCTACTCACCAGAACAAATTCAATAAGCTGTAGTTGTTCTGTTGACTATAGTGTCCCTTTAATATTGCAGAGTTTAACACTCGTTTAGTTTTTCTTTGTTTTTTGCCTTTTTCTACTAATCAGTACCCAGTGGCACAGATCACTCAGTGTTTTAGGCATTCTGACAAAGCCTGATGCTATATGAGTGAGCGCAACTTACAGTAGATACTTCTGAGTTTGCGATCCTGCTACGTGTTTGTACATTGTTCATTCTTAACTTGCTCTTTGCTTCACCTGATATGTAATAATCAATGCCATGACACTTTACTGTTTCTTACGCATGTAGACCAAGCTTGTTTATTATATATAAAAAGGTGCAGTTTTTTCAAATGCCACGATATAGTCTATTTTGAAGCACTAGTCTGACATTGTGACATTGGAAGCTTGTTTTAAAAAATTTTGCACAATAATTCAAATGTAAAATTATTATATATATATATATATATATATATATATATATATATATAAAAATAAAGACTTGTGCATTTGGTTTCAAACAAATTGTGATTTTCCCAAAATGTTTTGAACGATTTAAAGGACCACTCTAGGCACCCAGACCACTTCAGCTTAATGAAGTGGTCTGGGTGCCAGGTCCTTCTAGGCTTAACCCATTTTTTCATAATTATAGCAGTTTCAGAGAAACTGCTATAATTATGAATGGGTTAAGCCTTCCCCCTAATCCTCTAGTGGCTGTCTCATTGGCAGCCACTAGAGGCGCTTGCGTGCTTCTCACTGTGATTTTCACAGTGAGAGCACGCAAGCGTCCATAGGAAAGCATTGTAAATGCTTTCCTATGCGACAGGCTGAATGCGCGCGCAGCTCTTGCCGCGCGTGCGCATTCAGCCCAGGAGGAGGATAGGAGGAGGAGAGAAGGAGGAGAGCTCTCCGCCCAGCGCTGGAAAAAGGTAAGTTTTTACCCCTTTCCCCCTTCCAGAGCCGGGCGGGAGGGGGACCCTGAGGGTGGGGGCACCCTCAGGGCACTATAGTGCCAGGAAAACGAGTGTTTTCCTGGCACTATAGTGGTCCTTTAAGCAATCACCAGGTCGTCTGAATGCATATGGACGAATTGCAAAACAAACTAAATGGACACTGGGTAAACAGTTTAATTTGTTTTGGAGTTGTCCGTAGTGCCCCAAAAAAAAATAAAAAAAAATTTTTTTTTAAATGAATGATTGGTGGGAAGTGACCAAAAGAGAAGAAAAAAATTATCTATATTTATATATTAGATTTACTAAATGTATAATATAAATAGATTTATTTTTTTAAACTGCTCCTTGTTTTCCATTTATTGATTACTTCTCACTTGATGTGCGAAACCAAATGGTGGGAAAATGCACCTATCCGTGTACTGCAAAACATATAAATATTGATTTTGTGACGTTTTTCCTGAAACAATTGGTTGGACATGGATATCTAAATCTGGTGTCCAGCGAATCAGGACACTGGTGGCAAGGGAGCACCAGAAGGAGGAAACCCACCCAAGTTATTGGCAGGTCAGCCTGGTGTGAATGCATGTCAGGTTGCCTGTCCATTACTGCGGGCAGGACATGCAGGGAGCACTGTTTCACTGAACATAGTAAGAGTGCATCTTATGATGTGCTTGTGCAATGATTGTTGGGGACAGTTCCCTGGTGTCCCAAAAAAAGCAGGACAGGACCTGAAAATGTGTTTCTTCTGTCAAAATCTGGATGATGACGAGACATGCATACACGAATCCCAAATGGACTGAAGACTTTTTTTTTTTTTTTTTTTTTTAAATGCTTCTCAAAGAGCTGTAATACATCTCATTCAGAAGGGGAGAAGACAGGCACAAAATAGCAGTGTGCCTGCTACCATTAGAAAATTTATATTTCTACCTTAATTATAAAAGGCGTGAGACTCCAAACCGCAAGCTGAAGTAATTTGTGTGTCGAGTGTTCTTTTAAAGGGTAACTTTCAATGTGGTTTTATCTATGTTAACAGATATTTGTGAGGTGTGGAAAATAAAATGTAAAAATTCACAACTCTTTATCATGCATCTTGATACAGCCACTCCAAGTTCTCAAGTAGATACATATTTTCAATTTTTACACAGGATAACAGTTAAGCCTAAATTATTGGCACCAATAGTGTCAATTAGATATCTTACCAGTTGATTTTATGAATCCTAGCTACCAGTGTGCATTTATTTCCTAATCTTGAAGTTGTGAAGAAATTACAAAGCAATATAAAGTATTAAACCAAAGCTGGGGATTTTTTCCCCCCATTTCAACCATTCTCTGCAAATCCCATATTGTGAAGAACCTTGACCGGAGTTTTTACGGATTCAATCTTTACTCAGAAAATAAGAGACTGTTAAACTTGTAAAAAAAACAAAAACTTTTATTAAAAGAAAATAGATAACATTAAACACTTAAATAAAACTGACAAAATGCAAAAATCTGATCTCCAGAATGTAACAAAGTTTTTATAAATACCGTTAAGTCTGTATTCAAAATAGGAAATCAAAGAGTCTTCATAAATAAAAAAAAAAATAAAAAAAAAGTCAGAACAAGGACAAAACGAAAAAAAAAACAAAAAACACGACAGATTAAATTAAATAAGTTAGAACATGACCAGTGAACACTGAAGGTACAGACTGTACCCAAAATAAACCTTAAACCCCTTTTGTTGCAAGAGGGGGGTCCAATAGAACTCAATGTTTCCATACAGTCTGGGAATGATCAATAATTATATCAGCTTCCCTGGTGATGAAGGTGTAATATGCCTGGAAAAAAATGCCTTTATAAATTATAGTAGTGACATGGAACTAGCATCTGCTTATTGCAGTTATATTAGCCACATCCACAGAAAGAAAGGCTCCTTTGTGAGAGGTCTTTAAATAATGTAAACATATTCTTGCCCTCAACTTCAATGTGACCATTTATTTGAATTTGTTTTGTAAAATGTCTGGAAATGTAATTTTACAGGATTTTTTACAATGCCAACCTACCTAAATAAAATTGACTTCATGCCATTGCCAGCACATTTAAATGACAAACGGGAAGATGGTTCCCTCGCTTGGGCATATATAATCTGTACGGCTATTGTGGATAAATTATTCATATAGGCCTTTAGTATGGATATATACAAGCCTATGAAGGAGGTATGGGTGGAAAAGTTAAGAGTTGCTCAGTCTCCGCAATCAGGTGCAATTACAGGCAACCCTGCAGAAGACAGCTGTCAAAATAACTCAATTTTTCCACCAATTGGTGCCATAAATAGGATTATTCAAGGACCTTGCGAGTTGTAGTTAGGTTACAATTTCTAATTTATTCTAAACCAGAACAGTACTTTAACCCCTTTACTTACAACAGATGGGACAAAATGTCATTCCTGAACAGTACCGCCCCTCAATAGAGTAGCATGAAATGTACTTGCCCTAAGGCCTACCTAGATATTCAAGCCTTGACACTTACATAACTAAATTTAATGTATCTCGTAAAGAGCTAGAACGCCAGTAGCATCTTTTTGCCACCTTAGTTGCCAGCAGATTGCATTGCTTCTGTAAAAACATTACATCTCTTCCCCTCCACTAAGTGTATAAAAAAAATCCCCACAATAACAAATATTGGTCATACCACAATGTGTTTAAAATAAAGTTTAAGGCAGAGGTGGAAATAAAGTTTACAGTATGGGTAACATTCCTTGTAAATTAACTTCAAACCACACCTGCAGTCACCAATTGGTGCACAGCAGATACACACTTTCAACTAGAGGATATGCTTGCAAAGCATGTTTAACCAGCATTAATCAATGCAGGTTCAGCCAGTATTACCAGCATCATACCAGCTCCCTGAGGAAGGATTAAGTTAACCCATTCTGCTCCTTGGTGCAGTCCCCACTCATATCTAGCAGCAAGGATTCATGGAGGGAAAAAAAATAAAAAAAAAAAAAATCACAAAGAAGAGCAGCAAAAACACTTAAAATTCTGGGACAACTTGAACTGAGGCACTCAGTCAACCAGATCCCAGTTAAAAAGAAAAATGTGTGGAGTCACAGGCTGTTGGTTGAGGGAGGGGGATGTAAATATATACATATTAAAAAAAATAAAATAAAAAATACACATGGCTCTATGTAAGCAGAGGTCACTTATTAGATCTTAAAATGTTGAGCTACATCTCAGTGTAAATCTACATTTTTCAACCTTAAAATGTTGTGCAAGTTGACAACTGTCAGTATTTTAAGAGACATCCACTTGAAATGAAGACTAACCTCTCAAAAACAAGCTGGGAGGAGAAGAGAACACAGAAAACAAAACACTTTAAATTAAAATATGATGCAGTTATCATTCCTCATACTGGCAGTAAGTGAATGCATATTCAGAATGAGCAAATATATGTTAACAGTTCCATTGGCAAACTATCCCCCAAATCCTGTGAGTGTATAGAATAAAATTTTTACAAAGTCAACATATGCTAGTAGAACCCAGCACAAATACAGGCCAGTAGACCCCTATTACACTTCAATGCCTTCTGCATCATTCCGTTGGGAAGATCGGGTCCTCTAAAAAAAATGAAATTTAAAGTCTGAGGTCGCCATTTCACAGAGTCCCTTTCTGGAATCCCCTGAGGTATTTTTCTCTGGTGGGACAGCTCCATCTGCCCGCCCCGGGAATCCCAGCTTCCATACCGGACGTAGTCCCATGCCAGCCCACCCAAACCAGGGCGGCATGTCAGAACTTTCCTAAGTCGCTTAAAATTCTATGGAATCACAGGTTTTCTTGGCTTGTACTTGTTTGCTCTTGGTCCACCTTTCGTGACACTTTCCCATTGTCCTGTTGACCCACCATGTGGTCTTGAGACATCCAAGGATGTGAGAGGATCTGCTCCAGAGTTGGCCTATCTGAAGGCTTCTTGGACAGACACCACTCAATCAGGTGCTGACATTCTGCAAGAAAACAATACAGCAAATTTAGTAACTAGGATTTCATTGCATAACCAAATCTGTCAGCATGATAATTAAGACTCCCTTAGTGCCATGAACAGTCAATCATTCAATGCTCAATACAGGCTGAAGTTATCTTCACAGTTGCAGAAGGTGAATTGTTTAGATCTAACTACAAGAGGCACTAAACCTAAAATGTCTTTTTTGTGTACATTCTCCAAAGCCGAAGAAGGTATTCACACTAATTGGTAATGGAATACTGCAGAGGTACAACACCTGTTTCGCTAAGCCATGTCTATGGAAGTTCAGATTTTAAATATTCTTTTGGCCATAAAGAAGGGTGTAGAAAGATGGAAGCTTACCTCGTGACACTCTGCAACGATAATGGATTTTGCCCTTTAAAATATCCTCATCATGCTCAAAGGGAATGTCTCCACAGATCATGTCATAGAGCAAGATGCCAAGGGACCACACCGTGGCAGAGCAGCCATGATACCGATGGAAGCGGATCCATTCTGGAGGGCTGTACACACGAGTACCTGTTCATAAAAAAAAAAAAAAAAGGAAAAGTTTAGATGCCATTGACACTGCCACCATAATCCAGCCTTTTGAGATGATGTGTCAATTTACTGTTTTCTGGAGTAAAATTTTTAAGACATAACTGAGTGATGTCCAAACAAACTGTTACATGCTCCAATAGAAAATATATATTATATTAATGTTCTACTACAGAAATTAGTCTCTAAGTGCCATCGTTATATGGATAATTTCAGATTATACGTAGAAGAGCCCATCGAGACAGATTCTTTAATTATCAATTTGGAATATTAATATTTAAGCAAAATAATGTTTATAGCCTACCATCAAAATCTGTGTAAGCCGCTTCCCGGAGTAATGCACCAGATCCAAAGTCAATAAGCTTCAATTCTGCAGTCCGAAGGTCCACCAAGATGTTCTCATCCTTGATATCCCTGTGCACAACATCACGTGCATGGCAATGCTGGACAGCTTCAACCACCTGTCGAAAAAACTTGGCCGACAGTTCTTCGCCCAAAGCACCTCGCTCTGTGATGAAGTCAAATAGGTCCTGCACAGGTTCAGGTCGTTCCATAATAATGATGAAGCCATCTGGTCTTTCGTACCAGTCTAAGAGCTGGATAACCCCACGGTTGCCAGTAGACACCTTCTTCAGGAGATAGACCTCAAGTGGAACTAGTGTCCCATTCTGCAAGAACAAAAAACATTGCTACTATGAGAATCCCACAGAAATATTGCATGCATACGCTCTTTCCCCTAGGTTAATAGCATATTTCCCAATAATCCTAATACCCATAACATTAGAAAATGAAACTTACCATTTGTTTTAACTCTGAAATCCGGTTTCTAGCCACATGTTTGATTGCAACCTATAAAAACAAAAAACAAAAAAAATACCAATTTAAAAGATTTTCACCACTAAAAATTTTGAAAACAAAAAAAAACATAGTATTAAAGAGAAAGCAAGACCCAAAGTTAAATTCCCAATTTGGCTTTAAAGATTTTAAGGATAGTCAACCATCATAACTGGATTAAACATCTTTTAGAGAAAGAGGCCCAAATACTAAAATAAAAATTTAAGCAGGAGCATATATAATGTTGTATTACACACTATTACAATACATTAAATTACATAGTGCTGAAATGTCTTCTGTAATATTACTCACGCTTTGCTCCATGAAAATATACAAAAAGCATCAAATATCTCTTAAGGGCAATGGAAAATACTGAGACAAGACTGGTATTTTATATATTTGTTAAACACAACAAATTGTATGAGAGAAAAAAAAAAAAAAGCTACACATTTCCCCTACAACTTACAGGCAAATCATCAGCAATCCGGACTCCAGAATATACTGTGCCAAAACCGCCAGCTCCAATAACCTGTCCCACTCGATAGCAGTTTTCAAATGGTTCCTTCACTAAAAAGAGGAGGAAAAAAATATCCTGGTAAGTAACTAGCCATAACATATATAAAAAAGTGTTAAGTATTCGGACCAAAAGCAAGATATCCAATATACCTGCAAGCTTATTATAGACAGATACTGCAATAATATCCATATTCACAGGCTCTGGAAGTGGTTCATGGTGTACAGTTTATATGGAAGGACAGCACAGACCCCATCCTATTCTCCCCCCACTTCCCCCTCTGCTTTCAGAGATTAATTGGTTATCTCAGTGGATGAGAGAATTACTCATGCATTCAAACAGGTATAATTTGTGACTCATGATGCAGAAAGCCTGATGTTTTTATTATGATGTCTCTGCAAGGTCAGTAAGATAGAGAGGGAGGAATGTGCAGGATGGGGGTTAATAAGGAGGCAGTAGAGACCAGGGAGACTCCCTGCAGAGGAGGCGAATCCATTCCAAGCTCTGCGGGTATCCCGGGGAAACCCCTCCCTCAGGAGGAGACCACCCAATTGCACCTCCCACCCAATCTGTTTCAAAACCTCTGCAGAGCAACTCCACCCCCACCCCCTACAAATCAATGGATGCAGCGTCCCTGCAGCAGGTACATTTAGAACACAGACAAGATCCACAGAATGTTCAGTATTTTATAAATTGCGGTTACATCCATAAACCAGTTATATCAATGCATGAACGGGAAAATGTACACCAGCAGACTATGAACAGGAATGACATTTATGGATCTGAAACTACACATCCTCTGCAATTCAATGCCAATACCAAGTGTAATTATATCGTATAAATATACTGTATATATATATTTATTGACTAGTGTACTTTCACAAGCATTTGTTTATAGTTCGTACCAAAGTAAGTCCGACAATTCATTGATACCCATTAGTCGACTTGCAATCTGATACAGAAATAATCATACTCCCACATTTGTTACTTGCATAAAGCGCTTACATAGATATCATGTAACAAGATATTTAAAGTACCGGTGTCTAAAGTCCATACATCCTAGCAATAGCAGAACAATCCCTTGAAAACTAAGCATTAGCAATTATCATCCCACCTGGCGCGGACATATACCTTGGCGGAGAGCGAAGTAAAGGGAAACACGTGTGCATGCCGACTATGTAAAGCATCAAAACTAGAGATTATTTTTATTTTAACTAGATTGGACAAAAGACCAACACAAATTATTACTGATGATCCTCTTGCCACGCACATATACCACGGCGTTGTACAAAATGAACACAAACGTGTGACATTTTCTGCAGAATCAATACAACCTCCCACGAAAATCCATTCCCCCCCCTAAAGCAGCGGAGGATCAGAAAATATAAACGAATAGTATATACAGACACTGGGCGTGCACTATATAAATGCCACTGCGCCAACATATACCAAAGCGCAGAATACAATTGTGAGGAAGCACACGTGGTGTGCATTGCGCTTTATAAAAACCTAGCACAGCACTGTTTAAATAGATCACACGGGGATACAGACAGACCAGCGTCTTCTTGTGTGTCCGTATTAAAATCCCATTCTGTTACAACACAGAGCAGCCTTCACAAACACGTGTGTATGTGTGTTAGTATGTGGGCTGCATCCATCAACACACGTTGCCAGTGATGGATACACAATAGTCACATCCACCCATTATCAGGGTAACCGGGCACTGCTGAGCCACATGGCGCCTGCATAAGCCATGGCGGAGAGCATGTATGTATTTCAGGGCTGATGGCCATTTACCTTGCAGGCTGGCCGCCTGTGGCTCTGCCACGCTGGGTGATGCTGGGGACATGCCGCCGGTACCAGAGGGTGAGGGCAGGTAGTAACAAGCCAGAGCCATGTGAGGAGGAGGAGAGGCAAGATGCGCCGGAGGACTGAGCAGCATGGCCACCCGCTCCACAGATGAGGCAGTGTGGGATCGGCGTGCTGCCGGCTCCGCTCCTGAAGCAGCCACTGCCGGTTACAGAAGCCAGCAACCACGTGCGGCCACAGGGCTCAGCGCTAGGGACTCTTTCCCGCCCCCAGGCGGAGACCGCTGGCCAATCACAGCCCGACTTCAGCTCTATGGCCGGCGGAGCGTAAACCAATAGGAACGCCCCCCTCATCACCGCCTTAGTGTATTCCATTCCCGCGTCTTGGGAGGGCTGACACTATCTCTCCGGCAGCCAATCAGAACGCAGGGAAGGCATGGTTCTATTTGAATGCAGAGAAGAATGAGTGGGCAGCATGGGAGTAATAACAATAGTGCTGAGCTATTGTCATTTCCCTCATAAGGACCCGCCTTAAAAAATTTTTTTTTTTTATAATCTTAAACACCTATAGTAGAACCCCCCCTCCCCCCCCCATACCGCCACTTATAGTACATTATAACACCTAGCAAAGCATCATAGGCTGGAGCGGGGTGGGGGGATACGTTTTACTTAATATATAAATATATATATAAAATTAAAAAAAAAAAATATTAAATATATTTTTTTCACCAGTAGCTAATAATTAAGTCAATAATTTTGTGAAGTGGTTTCTGTTGTGTAATATTTATTTATAGTTGTTTATTTTTATTTTTTTTGCCAGAAGCCAGTTTAAACATTTGCAAATGATGTTGCTTGACCAGTTTGAAGAGCTGCATGCAAGCTAGTAGCTAGTTATCATGAAAGGCACAGCATAATTAGGGCAACCCCCCTCCCTTTCCACATTCCTGTAGGGTGAGAATGTGTTCTGATAAAGGCGCCAAATTTGAGTTCACATGAGGCTGATTGAACAGGGGGGCTGCGGGTACAGCCATCTGATATAACAAGAAGTGGGTGGTCCACACTGGCTTTGGCCCCCCTCTGTGCCTCACTATATAGCACAGAAATGTGACCATTCATCTCTATAGTAGTGAAGTTGCTAAATACGCATTTTCCCCATGACACTGCCTGAGCATCATAGGAGGTGTCATCTAATGTGCATTTTTAAATCATTTACTATATGCTTATGGTCACATGCACAATACTTTTTTTATTGTAATATTTTCCTATTAGTGTTCTAATCTGCAGACTACAAAAAATGTGGGATTTTCATAAGAACGTTTTACATGTCAATGTGAACCCTGACATATTTCAGTAGTTGCTGATTTAGTGAACTAGAGAGAGAAAATATTTTTTAACATCATACCTATGATGAGAGTGCAGTCCAAAAAACAGTATCCTAATCTCAAACTACATACACACACTCCTTTACTACATCTTTTATAGCTGAATTTCAGATTTTGATTAACTGTTTAGCGAATAAACCCAGTGAAACATCCTCATTTGTAATGTTAATTAGCTGTGTAACCAATCGTATGTGAATAAATAAATAGTTTGTTCAGCTTGATTTGAACTGCAGCCACTAGGCGCCAGGCATGAGCCCAATGTTGTCATTTTTCTTGCCAGGTCTAAATCTCACAGAAATTATGTCAACGTTTTACAGAGCCTGTTTTAACCTCTTCACACTCGGAAATGCCCTGTAAAATTTTATATATGTTGAATCTAAAGAGGTTTCAAATCCAGGAATACCCACAACACTGAGAACTAGTATACCGTCAAAAGCAAAAAATAAAAAAATAATAAAAGCCATAAACGTTTGCCTGCAATTGATGATTATCATGCAGTTTTACGAGCCTTAAAAACACATCTATTCCTACTATCCATATTGCAACATTTTTAACTTTAAAATGTCTGAGGACAATAACAAAAAAAAAAAAGCAATGAACGAGTTAACATGCTCTAATTTATCCTGCTTGAACCCTTTAAGTACTGAAACTGCGAACATTCCAGCTTGCTTATAGAAGCACTGAGTCTTTAAAAGAATTCACAGGGTATGGGGGACCCTTTGTTATGTAACTGCATTTTAAAATATATCGGCTGGTGCAATCCATCAACTCCTGAAAAGATTTCCCCCATAAACCTTAATTTATAGAGTGACATCGCATATTGTAGGATGACGTATGGTGGCCCAGTCCCTTGCAACGTGATGGGTAGGATAATCATAATATAAATTTATATATTTTTAAAACTATATAAAATAAATATTAGCTATGTTTTAGCTGCATATGTCTGCAAATAAATCATCTATTGGATGTGGGTTTATAATAATTTGGAGTAGGGGTACCCCATGTCACTTACAATGCAAGAGGTCAATGCCCTCAAATCTTCACTAAATGTACAAATTAATTATTATATAATAAGCAAATGCACAGATTAACCAGCTATAGCAATTTATGTTTATCAATAATGCAACATAACATCTATATACAAGACACATCCATGATGGAGGTTATAAAAATGTTCTTAATTAGTGGAGCAAAGTTCTTAAAGTGGAGCAGTCACCATGGAAACCTATGGAATCCCTAGGAACATTCTGTTGACGGATTGCTCTTTGCCCCACTTCCATTATAACAGCACTTTTATAAATCTTCCCTATCATCGGTCCTATCAACCATCAACTGTCACCGATACAGCGATTTGAAACCCCCCTCAGTGTTACAAAATTTTTTGTAAATATTTGACTACCCTACAGAATATGTCCGAACCCTTCAAAGGCAGTGCGTGGGGAACATGAGAAATTCCTGTCACGAATTGCTTGTTATTTTCATAGAGTCGTGATGTGTTTCCCTGTTTGCAGTGCTGGGCTTCCCCGCAATTCATCTCCTAGTACAACACCCTTTATTAATGAGATGAAAAAATTACGCATCACAGCTAGTTTTATTTATTTATTTTCCCAATAGCTACTGTGGGAATCACATGATATTCCAGTATTTTGGTTAGTTAGGTACTTGTCAGTGTCACAAGATGTTTTTTTTTTTGCCTAATTAAATCCCGGTGCATATGATGCAGAAGTCCAGTTGTGTGATGCATGCTGTGAAGGGGATTCTGCATAAATATTTATACGATCTTGTGATCTGCAAAATACTGGTTAGCTACGCAGCACATCTCATCCTATAAACCCTTTCGGCAATGCACTAATGGTTTCCCCGGCTGCCATACGTTTAAATCAGGAGTTATGCAAGCTAGTAAGTAACATAGAATAATAATAATAATAACAAACTAGCCATGATCACAGTGTGTTTACTTGTATCTAGGTATACGAAGAAGATGCTTACCGGCTGGAAGGTCGTCTTTGGGGAAGCTGTTTAAAAGATAATTGTGGATCTTCTGATGGTAAATGACTTGTACCGATGACATGTTGGAGGTTCGATGATCGGCGAGTGATACAGTGATACAATTATCACCGCGTTCTATAGCAATGCTTTGGTTCTTGTAACTCCCCACCTGGCACTTGACAAGTCGTAAGCTGGCAAAGTCCAAGCGGAGATCAGTTCTCAAAGATAGCAACGTTCACATTGAGTGAAGCTCAAGGACTCTGCAACACCACACTGCTGACAGTCAGAGGGAGGTTCTGAGAGTGGGTGGAGGCTTGCCTCCCACATTTCCCTCCCTCCCCCCTCCCTCTCTCTCAGGACCTGCCTTTGAAACCATGGATGACTAAGTATGGCACTACATTACATGCTTTATACAACCTTCTATTTCGCTGCAACTCTGTGGCCTCTGCAGCTGCTGCTGCGACTAATGGAAACCTCTTTTTTGTCCGTTACGATATTGTAGGGCTGCGATTACTCTCTCCAGATCCTTTTAGAGCATCAGTTCTGATGGCCAGGAAATCCCTTCTCTTAAACTGGCATTGGTACATTATTATTATTTTTTTCCAGCCCTTTACACTCTATTTCAGGGGTGTAAATTCCGCAGATTTTAAGAGAGCTGGGCACGTTTTATCTGTGTGGTGGTTCACTGTATGCCAATGTTACCCCCTCATCCCTTCTTCCAAACTCTAGATTTTGAGGCAGGTTTGCCTTTGGCACAGAGAAAGTGCCAAGACATTCCAAAGGCCAGACGTTAATGAGTTGTAATTTGTACAAAAGTCTTGTGACACATACTGGTACAAATGGCAATTGATAGCGAACTATTAGCAGAAACTAACAGAACGGAACATTTAAAGAATGTAAAAGAATACAGTGCTGATATTAACCTGTTACTGACCAGTGGCATACTGTATATGTCATGATATAATAAGATTTACCTAAAACCCCCTGTCAGGAGGTAGATAAGCTTGAGATTACAAGGAATGTGTTAGCAGCCATGTCTTGTGGCATTGTTTATGTTTTTGTTTATTTTTCGTTACTACGTAACAGGTGTTATAGAAATGATAATGTGTAAACTGATAGTAGCCACAATATTGCCCTTTTTTCTTTCCTCTAATTGGTGGCATTTAATCTGATCTTTATCTGGAGCTTCTTTTAACAATGCAGGTGATACAATCTGTCAACAACACTACATTGTTTATTGAGTAAGCAGAACTGTGAAATGTGACATTTGGGAAAGTAAACATTTTATTTAAATGGCAGAGCAGGGGTTGCTAACAGGTAGCTAGTTTATGGAGTAATAGGTTACTTCTGTCCCAGGGTTATGGTGCGTTAGCTGAGTTTTTGGCAAATTTAATGGAAATTCATCAAGATTAATTAAGACTCCCTCTAAAGTAAAACACGAAGAAAAAAAGCAATCACATTGCGAAACTTAAATTCTGAATTAATAAATATGCGTGAAGTGCATTTGTCATGCAAATAACAATTACATAGTTCTAGTTTATAGGAAATGGGATTTCATTTCTACGTTACACTATAAAAATCACTAGCTTCCACATAGATTTAGTTTATTTCCCCAACTGGATTTTTTTTTCTGATATTTTGCATATACCTGGTAACAACACAGAGGTAAAACAGTATAAACTCAAGATGATGGCACCCCACAATTTGTAACATGCAGCTGCATTAATAGTATTGTCTGATGTGAGCAAATTTCAAGGGTGAGCAGATGTGTGGTGCAATATTGAGTTGTGATCTTGAAAGGAGAAAAATAAGTCATCTTAAACTCAATGTAACTTTTTAAAGAACACTCTAAGCACCATAACAACTAAATTGTGCTATAGTGGTTATGGTGCCAACAGTGTCATTTGCGAATGGTTTGACACCTAACCTGTGGTCTGCTGACTGCCAGTCTTCTTTAGTTGCTGGAAGATCCATGCACTGAGCTGGCTGTGTACTGCAGGGCTTAGTTTAATGGAGCTAATAGATGATCTGTGTAGGAGCTTCCAAGCTGCAGAGGATGAAGCACCCAGTGGACCCAAGGTAAGTTGTCAAATGGAAGTGGGAGATCCTGGGGACTAGTCCACACTGTCTCAGCAGAACCTGGGCAGTCCGCACCGCCCTGGATAGGCCATAAGTGTGGATTAGGATCTAGTATTTTAAAGTTTTAACAGCCAAGAAAAAGGGTCTTCAGACAACAATGCTCTCCAATACCAAAGCCTTGTATGCCGAAAAGTGCCCCTTGTAACATTACAATTTAAAGGGAGAGAATTCTGCGTGAATTCAAGTGAATAGCTGATCCAGAACATTCTCTAATTCGGCTGTGCTTCCAGTACCACTACTTTGGTCTTAATTTAGAAATTCAATATGAATGCAAATGGAAAACCCTGTGTCTGGGTACTCACATGTCTTTCCATGCCTCCCCCTCCAGAAACTCCCCTAAATAATTTTCCCACTGGTTCACATATGTGATATAAATTTTTCAAATTTTAGTTGAAATTTACAATTGTAAAATATAAAAAAGAAAAAAAAAACACACACACACATAGCTAAAATGCTTTAGGTGTGTTCTGTCCCTTTAAGTATTGAGTGTATATTTGCTGTTGACATATTCACACAAGCGCACTACACAATATTAGTTTTTTTTTTATAGTTATCTGCTTATATAGATAATAAAATAAAATGTTCTACGCTGTCCACTGTGCTACAATTTGATTGAAACTATTCCAATGATAATCCAATTCAGTAGCATATCTAATTCTCACTAAGTTGCTTAGTGCATAGAGTGAAAACTCTCATAAGTTTATATTGACACTCCATCTTAATAATTACATTTTCATGAGCGCTCTTCTGGATTGGAATACACAAAGGCTAGAAATTTAGACGTGTGTTCACTAAACGTCAGTCAGAAACAGCCTTTTTGCAAACATTTGACCAAAATGAGTTTAAAAACTCAAGTGGAGAGTTTTTCCTAACTGCCTGATCTGACCTAAATTTTAAAGTCGTGAGTCAACCCACCACAATTTTCTGTTTACTGAATTAACCGCCCTAACTTATACCTTTTCCCAAATGAAGCCTGCCTTCACTTAATTCCACTGTATGTGACTAATGTTTTAATAATGTATTCCCCCAAAGTACATTAATGTGATAATATACTCACATAGCATATTACATCCCGGGGTCATGTTCAATAATATATTAAACTCATTAAATATAACACAGGTTGACGCCTTTTTTTTAACTTATAATAATTACTTTCTTCATTAAATCATTAAACCCTTATGAAGGCCCTTCTTTATCTTCATGACAATTTCAATGGTTTACCTTTTCGACGATACCTGCAAATGTATATTGGGATTACCTCTTGCAAGCAAACCTGAATTTCCATTGTATTTAGAGATAACATATTTTTGGCTAGAACGTAACATACGTCTGTTTAACACAGTGGTTCATAGCCAATTGTGACATAGAACCTACTTATATATATAGTTATTGTATTTTCGTGGCTACTCAATATTTTAGTTTCTTTAGTAACCCATTAGTTGTTTGTCATATATCATATAACTTCTTTTTACAAAAAAAAACCCATACAAGAAGTGGTCCCAGTTGCCCAGGGGAATGCAATACTGTTGTACAAAACTGTCTATTGGGCAGTTGCCTGAATCCTGGATTACTTTAAGATACATATATTATATTTATTGTCCAAGGAAAAAAAACAACAACATAAAAGTTCACTATTCTAATATAACAAACATTTTCAGAATGGAAGGTCATCTGTAGAAAGCTGGCACTGATCCTGTGATTGGTGTTTATTTTTATCTGAAACAGCTGATCGACAGTAACCTCTGAGCCATGCAGTGATACTGAGGTCTTCACAGTGTCATTGTTTGTTTACAATCTCTGTCACGTGGTGTAAGGATTAATCCCCTACTCATTTTACATGAACTTTCTTTTTAGGGAAGAAAAAAACAATGAAAGTGCAAGGCTTTGGAACCTGTGGAAAGTAAACGTTCACTGGACTAAGTCATATTTCCCAATATTCATATTTTTCAATGCAGAGAGGAGCAGTTTAATTTTAGGGGGAGTGACTGGAGGTGCGACAAGACAGGCTGGTTGTTCCAGGACATTTTATATCATAACTATTTATGTAACTGAAGAAAATATTTAGAACCACAGTATCTTACATTCTCAAACTAATGTCTAAACATTTATTGTTGTGTTAAAGATACACTGCTGTTTTTTTTTTCTTTGCTATGAATTTGCTGTGAAAAACATAAAAAATTTAGAGCTCCCAGAAGAAAGAGGGACAGATGGATCTGGGCACAAAGAGGGACTGTAACTCCTAAATTGGGACACTTGGGAGGTATGCCATGTAGCTCTTTATTGCTCAATCAAACAAGTGTACAATTCATTTGTAAAGGATTTAAAACACCAAGTATATTAGCTATACTAACTACAGCCACTGTCTACATTTTTTGACCGCACTGGCTTGTCAACACGAGTGGTACAGCCACAAGAGGTCAGTGGGGACACGAAAGCTCAAGATGTACATAGCAGTCTCACTGGTGAATTGAAGACTTTATTACCTTAATTTTCTGGCAGTTTTACTGGGTATTCTCAGCTGTAACTTGTTTACAGGGTTGACAGACTTTCTCTGGCTGGTTATGCTCACATTGATTAAAGTGTTAGGCCATCAGCAAATTAGTGTTGCCATATGACAGCTGCACTACATGCATCAAGATACACCTCACGCACCATTCTACCTACAAGGGCATTAACCCGTTGCCAAGATAAAGTATAAACAATGCATATTTTTATTTTAAAAACATTGGACATTTACACAAGATGATTTATTAAAAACGATGTAACTTTTTAGATTGTAATTTTTAAGTTAATGGTGCCTACAGTGCAGTGTGAATAGAACTGTAGGCATCATTGCAGTGGTACTAAAAACCTCTGTTATTTAATTTTTTATAGGGATTTGGGATAGTGCATAGTTAACATTTTTATAGAGTATTTTTTTAAAACAGCTCAGTGACTATGCAAGGAATTTGACGCCTCCCCACTAGATGCTGCATCCAACTGTGGTGATTCTTACCTGCTCGGAATTAAATTGCTGTTTGCTCTGTCAAGTTATTATTTTTATTATTATTATTATTTGTAAAGCGCCAACAAATTCCGTAGCACTGTACAATGGGTGGACTAGCAGACAAGTATTTGTAACCAGACAAATTGGACGCACAGGAACAGAGGGTGTT